TTGCGCACCTGCCAGGGCCATCATCCCTGTCAAATAATACCATGCGGGACACATTCGTTTTTTCTTCGCGCGCGCACGCCGTCGTCGTCGGCCGCGGGGCCCTGAATAGTAGCCACGGTCGTCCGCATGCCACGAAGTGAAGTGTCCGAACGTCATAGGGCGGGAAGCTGGGTGTGGGTGGTGGCGAAGAGTCGTTTGGAAATCTGGTAGAGCTTGAACCGGCCCCCCCACAAAGTGGGGGTATTGCCCGCCTCCTATGAAAACCCTGGCACTGGTGAGAACGGAGTGTCCCCACGTGCTAGTAATTGTTGTTGTTGTTGTTGTTGTTGCTGTTTTTGTTGTTGTTGCTTTACCACGCGAGGAGGTCTGGGTGTAGAGGGACATGCCCGACTTCAGGGTATAGGGATGGGGGCGGCCATGGGAGGCCACGGGAGGCCGCGTCGCCCGACCGCTTCCGGATCCTGCGGCGCATCACGCGGGATACTGCACGGGAGGCCGCGGGAGACCAGGCGCCGCCCTACGGGCTCCCCCACGGGAGGCCACGAGGGCCCCACCGACTCCGGATCCTGTGGCCCGCCTCCCAGACCCCCGACGCGTAATTTGTTTCACGACTTCGACCCCCAGAGGTCTGGGCCCCTTCCCCGGGACCGGTTTCTAGTCCTGAGTCGTCTGAATCGTTTTTTGACGGCCCCGAGGCCCAGCGAGGGCCCCCCTGAGGCCGAGAATCGCGAAAAACCTGCCGTCGTGATTTTGTCGCAGCGCGAGGAGGTCTGGGTAGGGAAATCCGAGACTCCTCGGATGATGCCTGGGGGCGGTGCGCATCGCACCCGTCCTGGCCTCGCCCGTCCTGGGCCCAGGGTCGCCGCATAGACACACTCTGGCCAAGGGGGGCGGGGGAGGAGGAGGAGGAGGAGGAGGAGGAGGAGGAGGAGGAGGAGGAGGACGAGGAGGAGGAGGAGGAGGACGAAGAGGGGGTCAATCACCGCTCCTGGGCCCAAAACACGGGCCCCGCCGGGGGATTCTGCACGCGCACGGCTCGCGCAGGTTCGGGCGCTCCCGAGGGAGCTGCAGCAGGGGCGGATAGCCGAGGGGGTGGGCGCTTCATAGAATCAGCCAGGGGCTCCGATCGCCGCCGCCGTCGTCATCGTCGTCGTCGTCGCCGCCGTCGTCGTCATCGTCGTCGTCGTCGGCGTCGTCGGCGCCGTCGTCGGCGTCGGCGTCGGCGTCAGCGTCGACGGCGTCGGCGTCGGCGTCGGCGTCGTCGTCGTCGTCGTCGTCGTCGTCGCCGTCGTCGTCGTCGGCGGCGCCCGCGGCCGCAACAGCGGCCGCTGGCGGCCCGATCGCCCGCGCGCCCGACGAGGCTCCCACGGGAGCACGCACGCGCAGTGCCGACCCCCCTGGGGGTGGCCGGCAGCACAGCTCGTCGAGCCTCGCGGCTCTCCGACGGCGCAGGAGCGTCCGACATCGGCCCATTCCGGGGCTCGGCGGCGCCGGGGGGGGGGGGGAGGGCCCATTGGCGACACGCAGGAGTGACCCCAGGCAAGAGTGACCTTCAGTAGGCGGACTGAGGGGGCCCAAGGTGGCCAAATCCGAGCGCGCAAGCAGCCGCTATCGCATCGCGCTCAGCGATCGGGAGAACCCCGATGAGCTCGCACCAAAGGTCACTCCGGCGAGAGGTCACTCTTACGTGCAGTCGAGGTCAGGTCTCCTCAGAAGGCGGCGGGGCTTCTCAGAAGCCCCCCAGCCTTGTGAGAAGCCATCCTCTGCACGGCTTCGGACAAGGCGCATGCAGCTTCTGAGAAGAGCCTTCTGAGAAGGCCTGATGGGCCGACTTTCCACCACCACTACCATAGGTAGGACAGGGAGGAGCAGGAGGAGAACGAGGAGGAGGAGGAGGAGGAGAAGGAGGAGGAGGAATGAGGAGGGAGGAGGAGGAGGAAGAACGGAGGAGGAGGAGGAGGAGGAGGAGGAGGAGGAGGAGGAGGAGGCCGAGGAGGAGAGGGAGGAGGAGGAGGAGGAGGAGGAGGAGGAGGAGGAGGAGGAGAGGAGGAGGAGGGAGGAGGAAGAGGAGGAGTAGGAGGAGGGGAAGAGGGAGGAGGAGGAGGAAGGAGGAGGAGGGGAAGGATGATGGGGAGGAGAGAAGGAGGAGGAGGAAAAGGAGGAGGCGAGGAGGAGGAGCGACGAGGGAGGAGGAGGCGGGCAGGAGGAGGAGGAGGAGGAGGAGGAGGAGGAGGAGGAGGAAGAAGACCCCCTCTGCCTTCCCCGCTGGGCGCGCCGCCGAAGGACGCCAGCGTCGCTCAACCTGGAACGTCCGCGCTGGCGTCGCTGCCGCGTCGACGCGGCGCGAAGCTGCCGTGCAATGGAGGAGGAGGTGGAGGAGGAGGAGGAGGAGGAGGAGGAGGAGGAAGAGGAGGACGAGCAGAGAGGAGGATGGGGGAGGAGGAGGAGGAGGAAGAGGAGGATGAGGAGGAGGAGAAGAGGAGGAAGGAGGAGGAGGAGGAGGAGGGGAGGAGGAGGAGGAGGAGGAGGAGGAGGAGGCGATGCCCATTCATGGCAACAAGCCCTCCGTATTGTCTTTTTCCCAACCCTCATGCGTTGGGTTCTCGTTTTGAATAAAGCATTGCTCGCGCGTCTCCTTCCTTCCCTTCTTCCCTTTTACCTCGCTCGTCGCTGCGTGCCAGCCTGCCCCCTACCTGGTCATCCCTGTGCCACTTTCGAGGGCTGCTGAGGGGCACAGCACAGTGGGTACCCACCGCAGACTCAAATTAGACCTCGCCATCCCTGGGGGGCTGCGATATGTGAAACTGTCGCCACTTTCGAGGGCTGCTGGGGGGCACAGCACAGTGGGTACCCACCGCAGACTCAAATTAGACCTCGCCATCCCTGGGGGGCTGCGATCTGTGAAACTGTCGCCACTTTCGAGGGCTGCTGAGGGGCACAGCGCAGTGGGTACCCACCGCAGACTCAAATTAGACCTCGCCATCCCTGGGGGGCTGCGATCTGTGAAACTGTCGCCACTTTCGAGGGCTGCTGAGGGGCCAGCACAGTGGGTACCCACCGCAGACCAAATTGACCTCACCATCCCTGGGGGGCTGCGATCTGTGAAACTGTCGCCACTTTCGAAGGCTGCTGGGGGGCCAGCACAGTGGTACCCACCGCAGACTCAAATTAGACCTCGCCATCCCTGGGGGGCTGCGATCTGTGAAACTGTCGCCACTTTCGAGGGCTGCTGGGGGCCAGCACAGTGGGTACCCCCGCAGACTCAAATTAGACCTCGCCATCCCTGGGGGGCTGCGATCTGTGAAACTGTCGCCACTTTCGAGGGCTGCTGGGGGGCCCAGCACAGTGGGTACCCACCGCAGACTCAAATTAGACCTCGCCATCCCTGGGGGGCTGCGATCTGTGAAACTGTCGCCACTTTCGAGGGCTGCTGAGGGGCCCAGCACAGTGGGTACCCACCGCAGACTCAAATTAGACCTCGCCGTCCCTGGGGGGCTGGCGATTCTGTGAAACTGTCGCCACTTTCGAGGCTGCTGAGGGGCACAGCACAGTGGGTACCCACCGCAGACTCAAATTAGACCTCGCCATCCCTGGGGGGCTGCGATCTGTGAAACTGTCGCCACTTTCGAGGGCTGCTGAGGGGCCCAGCACAGTGGGTACCCACGCAGACTCAAATTAGACCTCGCCATCCCTGGGGGGCTGCGATATGTGAAACTGTCGCCACTTTCGAGGCCTGCTGGGGGGCCCAGCACAGTGTACCCACGCAGACTCAAATTAGACCTCGCCATCCCTGGGGGGCTGCGATCTGTGAAACTGTCGCCACTTTCGAGGCCTGCTGGGGGGCCCAGCACAGTGACCCACCGCAGACTCAAATTAGACCTCGCCATCCCTGGGGGGCTGCGATCTGTGAAACTGTCGCCACTTTCGAGGGCTGCTGAGGGGCACAGCACAGTGGGTACCCACCGCAGACTCAAATTAGACGCCGCTTTCGTCCTTGTTCTCCTCCTGCAGTCACCTTCCCTCTGCTGCTGCCGTGCTGATGGTTCGGCTTCCCGCACGTTTTTCTCCTGCTCTGCGTTCCCGACTCCCCATGTCCTCTTCGAGCCTGTAGCTGTCGCCCCTCGTTCTTGTATGGTTCTCCTGCGCATCATGCCACAGGCGCGTGTCCCAAGTAGCTTACACATCAAGTTGATTGTCCATGCAAGTTTCGGCCAACTCCTCGTTTCCATTGATACAAATGGGTTGGGTACGTCACAGGGTAATTCGCGACGAGGCTCGGCCGGCCCTAATTGGGCCAGAAGAGCACCCTCCAATAACATGAGACCCTCCGCTGGCCAAGCTGAAGAACATTCGAGGGTGCCCTCCCCCAGGATGCACAAGAACATCCAACAAACACGAAAAACGTGAGGGCACCCTCCTGAACCGACCTCTATCTGATGCCTCCGTCCGACCGTATGGATTTCGTATGCTTTCGTGTCGTGAATCGGGCCTCCGGCGGCCGTTCGGGACGACTCGGGCACCCCCGGAACGCTCTCGGCGAGGCGCGGCTGCGCGAGGGAGTACCCCGAGGCGGCAGGAAGCGCCTCCAAGAGAACCTCGAGCCTCGAGTCGCTGGGGCCGCGCTCGCTCTCCCCTGACTCCGGATCCGCCCCACTTTGGCCGACTTCGCACAAGTAGGGCGGAAATTTCCGCCCTACGTTTCAAACTTCTTTGATGCCGATTTCCGCCCTACTTTGCCGTCGGTGTTCCCGCCCTGGCTTAATGGATGCCCACCCCACTCTGTGGACAGTCTCGTAGAAAGGTTCCACAAACCTGTGGAGCCTTCCGCAAACATATGGCGGACATGTCTGCCCTCCTCTCCCGAGGCAGATCAGGGTGCCGTCCAACTCTTGTTCGCATCGCTTGGGGGCGCGTGGATTTCTTATGACACAACTCTGAGTCGGCGAGTCAACCAACGCACGGCGGAACCAGAGTCGGGCACCCCCCCGCCCCAAGCTCTCCTCGAAGTCCACCACGAACTTCACGCGGACACCGGGCGCGAGGCCGTGCTGCTGGAGGTACTTCTTGAACCTCTCGCCCTTGGCGTTGGCGATGTGCAGCTGGATGCTGTCGGTGCTGCGGCCTGGGAGACTCCCCAGGGCCACCCAGGCCACCCAGCTTCGCGCTCTGGCGTCCCAGCGGTGCGCGGCTGTCTTCGCGCCCTCGCGCCCCCGCGTCGCGCCGTGGCTCGTGCCGTGGGGTGTCCCGCGGGTTGTCCCGTGGGAAATGCAGACCGACGTGCAAATCCAAAATGCACGCGAACCAAGATGCGAGTTGAACTTGCAAATCGACATGCGCATCGAACTGCACACCGAAGTGCAAATCGAAAGGCACATCGACATGTTGGTGTAAACGCACGTCGGCATGCAAATCCGATTGCAATCGAATTGTACATGGGCATGCATCTAAACTGACACGTCGAGGTGCGAATCATGTTGCAATCGGCAAATCAAAACTGTGTTTGCCAGCGTGGGCCCCAAACAACAAGTTATTGCACTGTGGACGTATGTGGAGAAAGGTATTTGGTGTAAGCTACGTGGTGCAGTCTATGTGTTGTAAGCTCTGCGATGCAAGCTGCGTGGTGCAAGCTGTCTGGTGTAGACTATGCTGGCGCAAGCTACGTGATGTAGGCTTCGCGGTGCAAGACATGTGGTGTAAGCTGTGCGGTGAAAACTGTGTGGTGAAAGTTATGTGGTGCAAGCTAGGTAGTGCAAGCTGTGTGGCAACACAACGATGCGATGCAGTATCTGTACTGATGTGCAAACGTAATGCATGGACACAAACATGGTAACGTGTACATACATGTATACGTACATACGTGCAGGCATACATACATGCATGGCCACGGCAATGCATACATACATACGCATCCATACATACATACATGCACGTGTACATACATACATACATAAACACATACATAAATGCATGCATACACGCATACACACAATTATATACATACATGCAAACACACATACGTACATACACCGACATACACATACATACACCGATATGTACATGCGTACGCATACACACATAAGCACATAGCCACTTACACATTGCATACAAGCATACATACATGCATACATACATACATGCACACATCCATACGTACATGCATGCATGCATGCATGCATGCATACCTACATGCAACTATCCTTACAACTATACAGCCATGCATGCATACATATACATATATGCATGCATGCATGCATACATGCATGCATGCATGCATGCATGCATGCATACATACATACATACATACATACATACATGCATATATACATACATAAGACTAAAGCCATCGCTCTCGCTGCGCGCGAGCTCAAGATCTACTTGCCATAAGACCAAGCGCATAGCGCGTCGGAGGAGCCGGGTCTGGATGATGGGATCCTTGGCTTGGAAGCGCACGCCCTGGTGTCTGAAGTCGCATTGAGGATTGGCATTCGCGGCAGTCCTGGGCCATCCTTGGGAAATCTTGCAACTCTCTTCTGGACCATTTGGGCCTGCGAGACCATCTTGGAGCCACATGTTCGCAACACATGGGAACTCCAGAAACATAACGGCAAACACGTTAGGATCTCTTTTGGTTTTGACTGCTTTGGCCCTCTTCGAAAACATGGGGGAGGGAGAGGATGGGAGCGGACTGCATGCTTCAACAACCGCCGTCGTAACGCCGCGAAAGCACTGAGCGGATTCTACTTCCTAAGCGCTGAGCAAATTACTGGTGCAAACTACTCCCCGTAATGTCAGCACGCAAGAGACACCGCGAGACTGCATCGGCCACGCGGCCGGGACAGGCAAGCGCTACCCGTGACAATTATTGCCCAGGCACGCGTCCCAAACCCTTGGAGCCCAAACACTTTGGACACGGGCCCTCTTGGACGTCCCGTGTTAGCACTCTGGCGGCTTCTTGGGGCCTCGTTGTGCTACTGGAGACCTCCCGGGGCAGCCTGGGGGGCTCCTGGGGGACTGTGGTGACCCAGACCCCCGACGTCGTGATTTTTTCGCGACGTCGACCCCCAAAGGTCTGGACCCCTTCCTCGGGACCCGTTTTCCATCCTGAGTCGTTTTTTGACAGTCCCGGCGAGGGCCCCCAAGGGCCAAAAGTAGAGAGAAACCTCCCGTCGCGATTTTTTCCACAGCGCGAGGAGGTCTGAGGAGGCTCTCTTGGAACTCCTGCACGCAGCTCCGGGCAGCCTCCCGGGGAACAGCTCCGGGGGAGGCCCTGCGGAGGCCCCCCCGGAGGGGAGGCACCCACAGAGGTGGGACCCCAGGTGCCCCGCGCGTGTGCTGCGGCCTGGGGCCCCTTGGGGTCGGGCTTTCTGGTGCACGGCTGGAAGCAGGGCTGGACCCAAACAGTGCTTTTTGTTTTCGTTTTGTTTTCGTTTTCCCTCTTTTTGTCTTGAATTCGCCTCCGCTGCAGAACGACGTCGAAACGAAAACGGCCCACGAAATCGCCAAAACACCGTTTAGGTCCACCCCTGGATGGAAGATGATGGTGGTTCCAGGAGGCAAGATAAGGGAAGGAGGTGGCAGGACGAGGAAGAGTGGAGGAAGGCGGGAAAAGAAGGCTGAAGCCAAATGTGGAGGGGGGAGTGGGGAAGAGGAACGGTGGAGGGAGGAGGCGGACGCAGAAAGAAAGATGGATGGGCAGGAGGAGGAGGAGGAGGTAGAGGGAGGACAGAAGGACGCAAAGTGAAAAGGAGAGGGAAGGAAAGGGCAGGGCGGAGGAAGAAGGGATGAAGGGGCAATTGCCGATGCGGGGAGGAGCAGGGAGGGGGCAGGAGGGCGAATGTACGAGGTCGAGGGCAGGAGGCAAGATGAGAAAGTTTTTTTGTTTCGGAAAGAACGCGCACGGTAAGATGCCATGGGGTTCGTGTCGCGACCAACCATACCCAGCCGGCCAACGCCAGGCTGGGTCTGCAACGAGGCGGCAGAACCCGACCTGGCCAAGTGCCAGCGACGGGTGAGCAAAATGAAGTGTTGCAGACGAGATTATTACATATTATTATAGGACCTGACCTTTGCCGAGTGCAACCCGCAAGGAGGCAAGATGAGAAAATTGGAGAAAGGAGGGAACGGAGGAAGGTATACACGAGGAGTGAGTATGGAATAGGGTTGGATGAGGAAGAGGGCGGAGGCAATATGGACGTGGAGGAGGAGGGCGCAGGAAAGAGAGAGAGGGGATTCGAATTGGGAGAGAAAAAAAGTGTTGAGGGGTGAGATGCGCAAGGGTGAAAGAAGAGAAGGAGGACGAGGAGGAGGGGAGAAGGAGGAGGAGGAGGAGGAGAAGGAGGAGGAGGGGGAGGAGGAGGAGGGAGGAGGAGGAGGAGGAGGAGGAGGAAGGAAGGAGGGGAAGGAGGAGGAGGGGAAGAGGAGGAGGAGGGAGGAGGAAGGAGAAGAGGAGGAGGATGAGGAGGAGGAGGAGAGGAGGAGGAGGAGGAGGAGGAGGAGAGGAGAGGGAGGAGGAGGACGACGAAGAGTGTTTAATACCTTCTGGAATGGAGGTGTCTTCGATTTCAGGCGTGCAAGAAATCATCTTGTAGTCTCTACTGGGGCAGCTCGGGGGACTCTTGAGAACCACTTGGGTGTCCATTGGGGGTTGGAAGCGTCCTGGGGGACTTTGGGGGGCTTCTTAGAGACCGCCAGGATGCTCCGGGGGCCACCTTGGCACCGATGGCGATCGGAGGACCGCTCGGGGGGCGCTTGGGGGACCTCTTTTGGGTCTCTTGGGGCCCTCTTGAAGCGCTTTTGGGCCGGCTGGGGCGCCTCTTGGGCGGCCTTGGGCCTTGAAGCCCTCGTGGGGGCCGTCTTGTGCGGGTCTGGACGCCTCGTGGGCCGTCTTGGGGCCCTCTTGGACCGTCTTGTGGCCCTCTTGGGGACCTCTTGGGCCGTCTTGGGACTGCCTTTTTTTTCTGGGGGGGGGGGGGGGCTGAAGCCTTGCAGTGAGCAAGCTGGGCCGCGCAGCAGATAACTGAACTGCACCGCGAGACCGACCATGACCATATAGTGCGTTGCGCACTATTGAAGCGATTGAAAACGTGTCACACAAGCTCCAACGCTAGTTAAGCATTAAACGTGTCAGAAGTCGTTGTTTGCCAGACTTGTTACCTTCAAATAGATGTCACCATCGCCATTATAAATCGTGACCCTTAAAACAGAGGCGAAACGTACCACAGGGCGCGAGCTCGACGCAGCCCTGTGGCGCACGCAAAGCGTCCCGCCGCCCTGGCCACGGCGGTCGTCCGGCCAGGTTCAGCCCGACCCGATAAGGGAAACGGGAGGTTCCTCCTCCAGAAGTGGAGGTGGCCCTGGCCAGCCGGCGCCCAGGAGGTGGGCCGTGGCCTGGCCTCCCGTTGAACTGAGCCGCGCCTGCCGCCCGCCCTCCGCTCCTCCTCCCCTCCTCCTGGTCCTCACCCCCCTCTTGGATGGGCGCCCCCGCAGCTCGGCCGCCCCCCCCCCGAGCCTCGCCCGGTCCCTCTCAGTCCTGTGTGATGGCGAACGAGGCCACCGCGGGCCGCCGGGAGTGGAGATCCAGACCTGTGCTGCACTCGGGGCCAGCAGTTGCCGCCGCGGTGTGGTCGTCCTCCCCCAACAGGCCGCCGACGGGGTACGCCAAGCTGCCGAGGTGCCTCGCGAACACGTTGAGGTACGCTATGCCTGACAGGGTGCTGCCGCGAACCACCTTGAGGTCCACGGCGCCGAACTTCCTCCAATCTCGGCTGCCGAGCTCCTTGTCCGCGAAGTACTGGAATCCCGCGGTCTGGTTGGACAAGCTGCCCGTGAAGTTCAAGACCCGAAAGTACAGGTCTGCGCACGCCGCGCCCATGCGCCGCGCGTCGGCCTCCACCCGCAGCAGGCTGTCCTGCGGCTTCGCGCGCCGGGGGACCTGGAGGAGCACGTGGATGCCCGGCTGGTAGAGGTCGAAGCGCTGCCCGAGCATGTTGACCAAGTGGGGGTCTCCTTTGCCAGTCACTGCCTGATCGCTGTTGATTGCCGTGTCTTGCGTGTTACCCTGCCTGATGAACAACTGGTGAGGCCTTGCCTCGCCCCTCCACAAGCCCTCGAAGGCATTCAAGAGGTCGGCTTGCAAATCATACCTGGAAATCATGGCAAAATACGGCATTCCGGTGACTGGGAGCAATGCGAAGACCCGGTTAATGCCATTCTCGGGAGACGCCATCACCGTAGCGGCGCCGCCAGACACCGTTGCCGAGCTGAACGTATTGTCCCAAGCTCGTATGTGGGCCTGCGCCTCCGCCTCCAGATCAGACATCAGGCCGTTCGCAATCGACAGCTGGCCAGGGAACCCATTGTTGGTCCCCCGGATCTCGAGCTCGATCGTGAACGCAACGCGCCTGCTCAGCAAGGCCCTGCTCGGATTTTCCTCTGCGTCTGCGGCAATCTGGAGCAACTGGGCATCGATCCCGAGGGCGCCCTGCATGCCAGTCGTGCTGATCGCCTGGCAGCCCGCCGGCCCGCGACACCCCCGCCCGTGGCCCGCTCCAAACGAGGAGGCCAGGACAGCGGCCAAGAGACATCGGACGACGAAGACCGCCATGGCCACTCGAACGAAGTGGAAGTGCAGGGAACACAAATACAAAATGCGATGTCAGGGTCCAAGCAGGCTTGAGCCTTGAGCCAAAATGGCTACGGCCGTCTTGGGACTGTCTTGGGGGCCTCGTGGTCCGTCTTGGACGCTGCGAAGATGAACAAAAAGCGAATGTGCTGGAAATGTGCGTTTCCCCCAAAAGGAATGGGACGAGTTTTGCCGCTTCGGGCCCTCTCGGGGATCCTCTTGGGGTCGCCTTGGAGCGTCTCGGGGGCCTTCTCGACTACCCACCGAGCCACCCCAACCCAACCCGAAGTCGCCATTGGGCCTGCCAACTTCCAGCGGGGGGCGCTCTGGACCATCCAGAAAACATAATGGAACCTGTACGCCCCCAAACCCGAAAGATGGGGGGGTCTGGGACCTTCGTGTTGGGTTGCGGTGGTCTGGTAAGTAGTGTCTCTTGGGCCGCCTTGACGCCATCTGGGGCTGTCCGGAAACCATCTTGTCCCGTCTGTGATTGGACCCTACCCGCAAGCTTCAGAGGGGGGCCGGGGAAGCTCCGGAGAGGCTCTGGGAAGCCCCGGTGCCCCGGGGGGGGTACTTAGTGTATTTCAAGTGCCCCATGGTGGTCTTCGGCCCGGGACCCTCCAGGGCAGGGTTCCTGGTATATGATATCTTTATCGATGTCGGTGTATGTCTGTATGTCTGTATGTCTTATGTCTGTCTGTTGTATGTCTGTATGTCTGTGTGATGTGTGTCTGTATGTCTGTCTGTCTGTCTGTCTGTCTGTCCTGCCTGTCTGTCTGTCTGTCTGTATGTATGTATGCAATGTATATATATATATGTTATTATGGATGTATGTATGTGTATGTATGTATGTATGAATGTAGTATTGTGTGTATGTATGTATGTATGATGTATAGTATGTACGTACGTACGTACGTACGTATGTACGTACGTACGTACGTACGTACATACGTATGTATGTATGTATGTATGTATGTATGTATGTATGTATGTATGTTTATGTATGTGTGTATGTATGCGCATGCATGCATACATGCATGTATGTTTGTATGCATATATGCATACACGTGCGTATGCGTATATGCATGGTTGCATGTATGTATGCATGCATGTATGAATGTATGAACGGATGTATGGATGTATGGATGTATGTATGTATTTAGAAAGGTGTGTCCTATATCTGACTGAATGCATGTATGCATGCCTGCATGTTTGTGTGTATGAGTTTTTATATATAGATATGGTTCGTAGATGTACATGGATGTACAAACGTATATGTGTATGTATACGTGTATATATAAATGTGTGTAAATACCTGCCTACCTACATACATACATGCATACATGCATGCATGCATGCATGCATACATACACACATACATACATACATACATACATACATACATACATACATACATACATACAAACAGCCATACACACATACATACATACATACATACATGCATGCATACATACATGCATGCATGCATGCATGCATACACGCATGCCTGCATACATACATACACACACACATACATACATACATACATACATACATACATACATACATACATACATACATACATACATACATACGTACATACATACAAACATACATACATACATACATACATACATACATACATACATACATACATACATACGTGTGTGTGCGCGAGTGCACCTTCTCCTTCTACCTATGAAACAACAAAGGAAAACACGTGGGAGGAGGAGAAGGATGCAGAATCGTCAGCTGAAGCGGCCCAGAAAAAAATCTTTGTACTTGCCACACGCCGTGCAAATGCTACTGAACACAAGGGATGTCTCGGGAAAACGGGCCAAACCAAATCGGATCACCTCAAGTGCGGACATCTCTGAGCCCAGAGTTGGAGGGATGAAGGAGGGAGGGATGAGCGATGGGAAGAAGTAGCATAGATGAGTGATGAGAAATGGAAAGAGGGATGAGGGACCGTTCGGGCGGTCCCTACCGGGAGGCTCGGGTCGGTCGGGCGGGACCCTGACGGGCGGGTCGGGTCGGGCGGGCGGGACATGAACAAATTGCTCATTATCGAGCTGGTACGCGAGTGCCCTAGCAGGCGGGTCGGGTTGGACGGGCGGGACCTTAATGTATGGCGCATCATCGATGTCGAACGCGAAAATCCTAACGGACAGGTCGGGTCGGGCCCGGCGGGCGGACCCTAACGGGCGGGGCGGGGCGGGGCGGGCGGGCGGACCCTAGAGGGCGGGTCGGGTCGGGTCGGGCGGGCGAGACATTGAAGTGTGGCGCAGATTCGAAGTGGGACGCGGGTATCCCTAACGGGCGGTCGGGTCGGTCGGGCGGGGCAAGCCCCCAACGGGGCGGGAACGGAGGTCGAGTCAGGCGGGCGGACCCTGGATGGAGGGTCGGTCGGGTCGGGCGGGCGGGACATTAAAACAGGATGCATCAAGATGCATCACCGACTTGGCAACCGAATGGACTGACGGGCGGGACGGGTCGGGTGGGCGAGCGGACCCTAACGGGCGGGATGGGTCGGGTCGGGCGGGCGGACCCTAATGGACGGGACGGGTCGAGTCGGGCGGGCGGACCCTAGAGGGCGGGTCGGGTCGGGTCGGGCGGGCGGGACATTGAATTGTGGCGCAGATTCGAAGTGGGACGCGGGTATCCTAACGGGCGGGTCGGGTCGGTCGGGCGCGCGGACCCTCACGGGCGGGTCGGATCGGGCCGGGTGGGCGGGTCGAACAGGCGGGTCGGGTCGGGTCGGGCGGGCGGGGCATTAAAACATAATGCATCATCGACTTGGCACGCGAATACCCTAAAGGGGCGGGACGGGTCGGGCGGACCCTGACGGGCGGGGCGGGTCGGTTCGGGCAGGCGGACCCTAACGGGCGGGTCGCGTCGGATCGGGCGGGAGGGGCATGAAAGTATGTTGCATCATCGAATTGGCACGCGACTGCGCTAACCAGCGGGGCGGGTCGAACGGTCGGGCAGGCCATAACGGGTGGCGCGGGTCGGGTCGGGCGGGCGGGCCCTCACGGGCGCGTCGGTTCGGGTCGGGCGGGCTGGAGCACTGATGCTTCAACAACCGCCGTCGTAACGCCGCGAAAGCACTGAGCGGATTCTACTTCCTAAGCACTGAGCAAATTACTGGTGCAAACTACTCCCCGTAATGTCAGCACGCAAGAGACACCGCGAGACTGCATCGGCCACGCGGCCGGGACAGGCAAGCGCTACCCGTGACAATTACTGCCCAGGCACGCGTCCCAAACCCTTGGAGCCCAAACACTTTGGACACGGGCCCTCTTGGACGTCCCGTGTTAGCACTCTGGCGGCTTCTTGGGGCCTCGTTGTGCTACTGGAGACCTCCCGGGGCAGCCTGGGGGGCTCCTGGGGGACTGTGGTGACCCAGACCCCCGACGTCGTGATTTTTTCGCGACGTCGACCCCCAAAGGTCTGGACCCCTTCCTCGGGGCGAAAACATGGGGGAGGGAGAGGATGGGAGCGGACTGCATGCTTCAACAACCGCCGTCGTAACGCCGCGAAAGCACTGAGCGGATTCTACTTCCTAAGCACTGAGCAAATTACTGGTGCAAACTACTCCCCGTAATGTCAGCACGCAAGAGACACCGCGAGACTGCATCGGCCACGCGGCCGGGACAGGCAAGCGCTACCCGTGACAATTATTGCCCAGGCACGCGTCCCAAACCCTTGGAGCCCAAACACTTTGGACACGGGCCCTCTTGGACGTCCCGTGTTAGCACTCTGGCGGCTTCTTGGGGCCTCGTTGTGCTACTGGAGACCTCCCGGGGCAGCCTGGGGGGCTCCTGGGGGACTGTGGTGACCCAGACCCCCGACGTCGTGATTTTTTCGCGACGTCGACCCCCAAAGGTCTGGACCCCTTCCTCGGGACCCGTTTTCCATCCTGAGTCGTTTTTTGACAGTCCCGGCGAGGGCCCCCAAGGGCCAAAAGTAGAGAGAAACCTCCCGTCGTGATTTTTTCCACAGCGCGAGGAGGTCTGAGGAGGCTCTCTTGGAACTCCTGCACGCAGCTCCGGGCAGCCTCCCGGGGAACAGCTCCGGGGGAGGCCCTGCGGAGGCCCCCCCGGAGGGGAGGCACCCACAGAGGTGGGACCCCAGGTGCCCCGCGCGTGTGCTGCGGCCTGGGGCCCCTTGGGGTCGGGCTTTCTGGTGCACGGCTGGAAGCAGGGCTGGACCCAAACAGTGCTTTTTGTTTTCGTTTTGTTTTCGTTTTCCCTCTTTTTGTCTTGAATTCGCCTCCGCTGCAGAACGACGTCGAAACGAAAACGGCCCACGAAATCGCCAAAACACCGTTTAGGTCCACCCCTGGATGGAAGATGATGGTGGTTCCAGGAGGCAAGATAAGGGAAGGAGGTGGCAGGACGAGGAAGAGTGGAGGAAGGCGGGAAAAGAAGGCTGAAGCCAAATGTGGAGGGGGGAGTGGGGAAGAGGAACGGTGGAGGGAGGAGGCGGACGCAGAAAGAAAGATGGATGGGCAGGAGGAGGAGGAGGAGGTAGAGGGAGGACAGAAGGACGCAAAGTGAAAAGGAGAGGGAAGGAAAGGGCAGGGCGGAGGAAGAAGGGATGAAGGGGCAATTGCCGATGCGGGGAGGAGCAGGGAGGGGGCAGGAGGGCGAATGTACGAGGTCGAGGGCAGGAGGCAAGATGAGAAAGTTTTTTTGTTTCGGAAAGAACGCGCACGGTAAGATGCCATGGGGTTCGTGTCGCGACCAACCATACCCAGCCGGCCAACGCCAGGCTGGGTCTGCAACGAGGCGGCAGAACCCGACCTGGCCAAGTGCCAGCGACGGGTGAGCAAAATGAAGTGTTGCAGACGAGATTATTACATATTATTATAGGACCTGACCTTTGCCGAGTGCAACCCGCAAGGAGGCAAGATGAGAAAATTGGAGAAAGGAGGGAACGGAGGAAGGTATACACGAGGAGTGAGTATGGAATAGGGTTGGATGAGGAAAAGGGCGGAGGCAATATGGACGTGGAGGAGGAGGGCGCAGGAAAGAGAGAGAGGGGATTCGAATTGGGAGAGAAAAAAAGTGTTGAGGGGTGAGATGCGCAAGGGTGAAAGAAGAGAAGGAGGACGAGGAGGAGGGGAGAAGGAGGAGGAGGAGGAGGCTAAAGGGGAGGGGGAAGGAGGGGGGAGGAGGAGGAGGAGGAGGAGGAGAAGGATGGGAACAAGGAGGAGGGGGGGAGTAGGAGGAGGAGCTGATGAGGAAGAGGAGGAGGGCGGAGGAGGAGGGGAAAGGGAGGAGGGGAGGAGGAGAGGCAGGAGGAGAGGAGAGGAGGCCAGGAGGAGAGGAGGCGGACGACGATGAGAGTGTTTATTACCTTCTGGAATGGAGGGGTCTTCAGCCTGAGGCGTGCGAAATAATCTTATTAGTCTCTCCTGGGGCAGCTCGGGGACTCTTGAGACCCACTTGGGTGTCCAATTGTGGTGGTTGGAACGTCTGGTGGTATGCGCGATCTCTGGTGAGGAACGCCAGATTCTCCAGGGGCCACCTTGTCACCGATGGCGATCGGGGGAACCGCTCGGGGGGCCGTTTGGGGACCTCTATTTGGGCTCCTTGTGGCCTCTTTAAAGCGCTTTGGGTCCGGCTTGGGGGCGCCTCTTGTGTGTGGGCGGCAAGCGGGTCTTGACGCCCTCGTGGGGGCCGTCTTGTGCGGGTCTGGACGCCTCGTGGGCCGTCTTGGGGCCCTCTTGGACCGTCTTGTGGCCCTCTTGGGGACCTCTTGGGCCGTCTTGGGACTGCCTTTTTTTTCTGGGGGGGGGGGGGGCTGAAGCCTTGCAGTGAGCAAGCTGGGCCGCGGCAGCAGATAACTGAACTGCACCGCGAGACCGACCATGAGCCATATAGTGCGTTGCGCACTATTGAAGCGATTGAAAACGTGTCACACAAGCTCCTCAACGCTTGTAAGCGATTGAAAACGTGTCAGAAGTCGTTGTTTGCCAGACTTGTGACCCTTCAAAATAGATGTCACCATCGCCATTATAAATCGTGACCCTTAAAACAGAGGCGAACGTACCACAGGGCGCGAGCTCGACGCAGCGCTGTGGCACACGCCAAGCGTCCCGCCGCCCTGGCCACGGCGGTCGTCCGGCCAGGTTCAGCCCAAGCCCGATAAGGGAGACGGGAGGTTCCTCCTCCAGAAGTGGAGGTGGCCCTGGCCAGCAGGCGCCCAGGAGGTGGGCCGTGGCATGGCCTCCCGTTGAACTGAGCCGCGCCTGCCGCCCGCCCTCCGCGCCTCCTCCCCTCCTCCAGGTCCTCACCCCCCTCTCGGATGGGCGCCCCCGCAGCTCGGCCGCCCCCCCCCCGAGCCTCTCCCGGGCCGCGGGGCGTGGCGCCCACCTCCGCGGCGGCCGAGGGCAGCCCGGGCCCCCTCAGTCCTGGGTGATGGCGAACGAGGCCACCGCGGGCCGCCGGGAGTGGAGCTCCAGACCTGTGCTGCACTCGGGGCCAGCAGTTGCCGCCGCGGTGTGATCGTCCTCCCCCAACAGGCCACCGACGGGGTACGCCAAGCTGCCGAGGTGCCTCGCGAACACGTTGAGGTACGCTATGCCTGACAGGGTGCTGCCGCGAACCACCTTGAGGTCCACGGCGCCGAACTTCCTCCAATCTCGGCTGCCGAGCTCCTTGTCCGCGAAGTACTGGAATCCCGCGGTCTGGTTGGACAAGCTGCCCGTGATGTTCAAGACCCGAAAGTACAGGTCTGCGCACGCCGCGCCCATGCGCCGCGCGTCGGCCTCCACCCGCAGCAGGCTGTCCTGCGGCTTCGCGCGCCGGGGGACCTGGAGGAGCACGTGGATGCCCGGCTGGTAGAGGTCGAAGCGCTGCCCGAGCATGTTGACCAAGTGGGGGTCTCCTTTGCCAGTCACTGCCTGATCGCTGTTGATTGCCGTGTCTTGCGTGTTACCCTGCCTGATGAACAACTGGTGAGGCCTTGCCTCGCCCCTCCACAAGCCCTCGAAGGCATTCAAGAGGTCGGCTTGCAAATCAGACCTGGAAATCATGGCAAAATACGGCATTCCGGTGACTGGGAGCAATGCGAAGACCCGGTTAATGCCATTCTCGGGAGACGCCATCACCGTAGCGGCGCCGCCAGACACCGTTGCCGAGCTGAACGTATTGTCCCAAGCTCGTATGTGGGCCTGCGCCTCCGCCTCCAGATCAGACATCAGGCCGTTCGCAATCGACAGCTGGCCAGGGAACCCATTGTTGGTCCCCCGGATCTCGAGCTCGATCGTGAACGCGACGCGCCTGCTCAGCAAGGCCCTGCTCGGATTTTCCTCTGCGTCTGCGGCAATCTGGAGCAACTGGGCATCGATCCCGAGGGCGCCCTGCATGCCAGTCGTGCTGATCGCCTGGCAGCCCGCCGGCCCGCGACACCCCCGCCCGTGGCCCGCTCCAAACGAGGAGGCCAGGACAGCGGCCAAGAGACATCGGACGACGAAGACCGCCATGGCCACTCGAACGAAGTGGAAGTGCAGGGAACACAAATACAAAATGCGATGTCAGGGTCCAAGCAGGCTTGAGCCTTGAGCCAAAATGGCTACGGCCGTCTTGGGACTGTCTTGGGGGCCTCGTGGTCCGTCTTGGACGCTGCGAAGATGAACAAAAAGCGAATGTGCTGGAAATGTGCGTTTCCCCCAAAAGGAATGGGACGAGTTTTGCCGCTTCGGGCCCTCTCGGGGATCCTCTTGGGGTCGCCTTGGAGCGTCTCGGGGGCCTTCTCGACTACCCACCGAGCCACCCCAACCCAACCCGAAGTCGCCATTGGGCCTGCCAACTTCCAGCGGGGGGCGCTCTGGACCATCCAGAAAACATAATGGAACCTGTACGCCCCCAAACCCGAAAGATGGGGGGGTCTGGGACCTTCGTGTTGGGTTGCGGTGGTCTGGTAAGTAGTGTCTCTTGGGCCGCCTTGACGCCATCTGGGGCTGTCCGGAAACCATCTTGTCCCGTCTGTGATTGGACCCTACCCGCAAGCTTCAGAGGGGGGCCGGGGAAGCTCCGGAGAGGCTCTGGGAAGCCCCGGTGCCCCGGGGGGGGTACTTAGTGTATTTCAAGTGCCCCATGGTGGTCTTCGGCCCGGGACCCTCCAGGGCAGGGTTCCTGGTATATGATATCTTTATCGATGTCTGTATGTATGTCTGTATGTCTGTATGTCTGTATGTCTGTGTGTCTGTATGTCTGTATGTCTGTGTGTATGTGTGTATGTCTGTCTGTCTGTCTGTCTGTCTGTCTGTCTGTCTGTCTGTCTGTCTGTCTGTATGTATGTATGCATGTATATATATATATGTATATATATGGATGTATGTATGTGTATGTATGTATGTATGAATGTATGTATTTGTGTGTATGTATGTATGTATGTATGTATGTACGTACGTACGTACGTACGTATGTACGTACGTACGTACGTACGTACATACGTATGTATGTATGTATGTATGTATGTATGTATGTATGTATGTATGTTTATGTATGTGTGTATGTATGCGCATGCATGCATACATGCATGTATGTTTGTATGCATATATGCATACACGTGCGTATGCGTATATGCATGGTTGCATGTATGTATGCATGCATGTATGAATGTATGAACGGATGTATGGATGTATGGATGTATGTATGTATTTAGAAAGGTGTGTCCTATATCTGACTGAATGCATGTATGCATGCCTGCATGTTTGTGTGTATGAGTTTTTATATATAGATATGGTTCGTAGATGTACATGGATGTACAAACGTATATGTGTATGTATACGTGTATATATAAATGTGTGTAAATACCTGCCTACCTACATACATACATGCATACATGCATGCATGCATGCATGCATACATACACACATACATACATACATACATACATACATACATACATACATACATACATACAAACAGCCATACACACATACATACATACATACATACATGCATGCATACATACATGCATGCATGCATGCATGCATACACGCATGCCTGCATACATACATACACACACACATACATACATACATACATACATACATACATACATACATACATACATACATACATACATACATACGTACATACATACAAACATACATACATACATACATACATACATACATACATACATACATACATACATACGTGTGTGTGCGCGAGTGCACCTTCTCCTTCTACCTATGAAACAACAAAGGAAAACACGTGGGAGGAGGAGAAGGATGCAGAATCGTCAGCTGAAGCGGCCCAGAAAAAAATCTTTGTACTTGCCACACGCCGTGCAAATGCTACTGAACACAAGGGATGTCTCGGGAAAACGGGCCAAACCAAATCGGATCACCTCAAGTGCGGACATCTCTGAGCCCAGAGTTGGAGGGATGAAGGAGGGAGGGATGAGCGATGGGAAGAAGTAGCATAGATGAGTGATGAGAAATGGAAAGAGGGATGAGGGACCGTTCGGGCGGTCCCTACCGGGAGGCTCGGGTCGGTCGGGCGGGACCCTGACGGGCGGGTCGGGTCGGGCGGGCGGGACATGAACAAATTGCTCATTATCGAGCTGGTACGCGAGTGCCCTAGCAGGCGGGTCGGGTTGGACGGGCGGGACCTTAATGTATGGCGCATCATCGATGTCGAACGCGAAAATCCTAACGGACAGGTCGGGTCGGGCCCGGCGGGCGGACCCTAACGGGCGGGGCGGGGCGGGGCGGGCGGGCGGACCCTAGAGGGCGGGTCGGGTCGGGTCGGGCGGGCGAGACATTGAAGTGTGGCGCAGATTCGAAGTGGACGCGGTCTCCTAACGGGCGGGTTCGGGTCGGGTCGGGCGGGCGGGACATTAAAACAGGATGCATCAAGATGCATCACCGACTTGGCAACCGAATGGACTGACGGGCGGGACGGGTCGGGTGGGCGAGCGGACCCTAACGGGCGGGATGGGTCGGGTCGGGCGGGCGGACCCTAATGGACGGGACGGGTCGAGTCGGGCGGGCGGACCCTAGAGGGCGGGTCGGGTCGGGTCGGGCGGGCGGGACATTGAATTGTGGCGCAGATTCGAAGTGGGACGCGGGTATCCTAACGGGCGGGTCGGGTCGGTCGGGCGCGCGGACCCTCACGGGCGGGTCGGATCGGGCCGGGTGGGCGGGTCGAACAGGCGGGTCGGGTCGGGTCGGGCGGGCGGGGCATTAAAACATAATGCATCATCGACTTGGCACGCGAATACCCTAAAGGGGCGGGACGGGTCGGGCGGACCCTGACGGGCGGGGCGGGTCGGTTCGGGCAGGCGGACCCTAACGGGCGGGTCGCGTCGGATCGGGCGGGAGGGGCATGAAAGTATGTTGCATCATCGAATTGGCACGCGACTGCGCTAACCAGCGGGGCGGGTCGAACGGTCGGGCAGGCCATAACGGGTGGCGCGGGTCGGGTCGGGCGGGCGGGCCCTCACGGGCGCGTCGGTTCGGGTCGGGCGGGCTGGAGCACTGATGCTTCAACAACCGCCGTCGTAACGCCGCGAAAGCACTGAGCGGATTCTACTTCCTAAGCACTGAGCAAATTACTGGTGCAAACTACTCCCCGTAATGTCAGCACGCAAGAGACACCGCGAGACTGCATCGGCCACGCGGCCGGGACAGGCAAGCGCTACCCGTGACAATTACTGCCCAGGCACGCGTCCCAAACCCTTGGAGCCCAAACACTTTGGACACGGGCCCTCTTGGACGTCCCGTGTTAGCACTCTGGCGGCTTCTTGGGGCCTCGTTGTGCTACTGGAGACCTCCCGGGGCAGCCTGGGGGGCTCCTGGGGGACTGTGGTGACCCAGACCCCCGACGTCGTGATTTTTTCGCGACGTCGACCCCCAAAGGTCTGGACCCCTTCCTCGGGGCGAAAACATGGGGGAGGGAGAGGATGGGAGCGGACTGCATGCTTCAACAACCGCCGTCGTAACGCCGCGAAAGCACTGAGCGGATTCTACTTCCTAAGCACTGAAAATAAAGAAAAAAAAAAAAAAAAAAAAAAAAAAAAAAAAAAAAAAAAAAAAAAAAAAAAAAAATAAAAGCAAATTACTGGTGCAAACTACTCCCCGTAATGTCAGCACGCAAGAGACACCGCGAGACAGCATCGGCGCACGCGCCGGGACGCAAGCGCTACCGTGGACAATTAATTGCCCCGGCCGCGTCCCCACCCCATGCGCCCAACCAGAATAACCTAGGACCCTTGCCCTCATTGACGTCCCGTGATTGGGCCTCTGGCGGCTTCTAGGGGCCACGGATTGTGCAACTGGAGACCTCCCAGGGGCAGCCAGTGGTGCTCCTGGGTGACAGGGTGGAAGGGGGGGGGTATTATTATTGTACCCCCCCCCACACGGAAACCCCGAAAACGTGATTTTTTCGCGACGTCGACCCCCAAAAAAAGTAAACCAAAAAAAAAAAAATAAAGAAGAAAAAGAAAACAAAAATTAGGTCTGGACCCCTTCCTCGGGACCCGTTTTCCATCCTGAGTCGTTTTTTGACAGTCCCGGCGAGGGCCCCCAAGGGCCAAAAGTAGAGAGAAACCTCCCGTCGCGATTTTTTCCACAGCGCGAGGAGGTCTGAGGAGGCTCTCTTGGAACTCCTGCACGCAGCTCCGGGCAGCCTCCCGGGGAACAGCTCCGGGGGAGGCCCTGCGGAGGCCCCCCCGGAGGGGAGGCACCCACAGAGGTGGGACCCCAGGTGCCCCGCGCGTGTGCTGCGGCCTGGGGCCCCTTGGGGTCGGGCTTTCTGGTGCACGGCTGGAAGCAGGGCTGGACCCAAACAGTGCTTTTTGTTTTCGTTTTGTTTTCGTTTTCCCTCTTTTTGTCTTGAATTCGCCTCCGCTGCAGAACGACGTCGAAACGAAAACGGCCCACGAAATCGCCAAAACACCGTTTAGGTCCACCCCTGGATGGAAGATGATGGTGGTTCCAGGAGGCAAGATAAGGGAAGGAGGTGGCAGGACGAGGAAGAGTGGAGGAAGGCGGGAAAAGAAGGCTGAAGCCAAATGTGGAGGGGGGAGTGGGGAAGAGGAACGGTGGAGGGAGGAGGCGGACGCAGAAAGAAAGATGGATGGGCAGGAGGAGGAGGAGGAGGTAGAGGGAGGACAGAAGGACGCAAAGTGAAAAGGAGAGGGAAGGAAAGGGCAGGGCGGAGGAAGAAGGGATGAAGGGGCAATTGCCGATGCGGGGAGGAGCAGGGAGGGGGCAGGAGGGCGAATGTACGAGGTCGAGGGCAGGAGGCAAGATGAGAAAGTTTTTTTGTTTCGGAAAGAACGCGCACGGTAAGATGCCATGGGGTTCGTGTCGCGACCAACCATACCCAGCCGGCCAACGCCAGGCTGGGTCTGCAACGAGGCGGCAGAACCCGACCTGGCCAAGTGCCAGCGACGGGTGAGCAAAATGAAGTGTTGCAGACGAGATTATTACATATTATTATAGGACCTGACCTTTGCCGAGTGCAACCCGCAAGGAGGCAAGATGAGAAAATTGGAGAAAGGAGGGAACGGAGGAAGGTATACACGAGGAGTGAGTATGGAATAGGGTTGGATGAGGAAGAGGGCGGAGGCAATATGGACGTGGAGGAGGAGGGCGCAGGAAAGAGAGAGAGGGGATTCGAATTGGGAGAGAAAAAAAGTGTTGAGGGGTGAGATGCGCAAGGGTGAAAGAAGAGAAGGAGGACGAGGAGGAGGGGAGAAGGAGGAGGAGGAGGAGGGAGAAGAGGAGGTGGGATGAGAGGAGGAAGGAGGAGAGGATGAGGAGGAGAAAGGAGGGGAAGGGAGGAAGGGGGGGAGGAGGAGGAGGATGGAAGGAGGAGGAGAGGAGGAGGAGGAGGGAGGAGGGTAAGGGGGGGAAGGAAGGAGTAGAGAGGAAAGGAGGAGGGAGGAGGAGGAGGAGAGAGTGAGAGGAGGAGGAGGACGACGAGAGAGTGTTTATATACCTTCTGGAATGGAGGTGTCTTCGATTTCAGGCGTGCAAGAAATCATCTTGTAGTCTCTACTGGGGCAGCTCGGGGGACTCTTGAGAACCACTTGGGTGTCCATTGGGGGTTGGAAGCGTCCTGGGGGACTTTGGGGGGCTTCTTAGAGACCGCCAGGATGCTCCGGGGGCCACCTTGGCACCGATGGCGATCGGAGGACCGCTCGGGGGGCGCTTGGGGGACCTCTTTTGGGTCTCTTGGGGCCCTCTTGAAGCGCTTTTGGGCCGGCTGGGGCGCCTCTTGGGCGGCCTTGGGCCTTGAAGCCCTCGTGGGGGCCGTCTTGTGCGGGTCTGGACGCCTCGTGGGCCGTCTTGGGGCCCTCTTGGACCGTCTTGTGGCCCTCTTGGGGACCTCTTGGGCCGTCTTGGGACTGCCTTTTTTTTCTGGGGGGGGGGGGGGCTGAAGCCTTGCAGTGAGCAAGCTGGGCCGCGGCAGCAGATAACTGAACTGCACCGCGAGACCGACCATGAGCCATATAGTGCGTTGCGCACTATTGAAGCGATTGAAAACGTGTCACACAAGCTCCTCAACGCTTGTAAGCGATTGAAAACGTGTCAGAAGTCGTTGTTTGCCAGACTTGTGACCCTTCAAAATAGATGTCACCATCGCCATTATAAATCGTGACCCTTAAAACAGAGGCGAACGTACCACAGGGCGCGAGCTCGACGCAGCGCTGTGGCACACGCCAAGCGTCCCGCCGCCCTGGCCACGGCGGTCGTCCGGCCAGGTTCAGCCCAAGCCCGATAAGGGAGACGGGAGGTTCCTCCTCCAGAAGTGGAGGTGGCCCTGGCCAGCAGGCGCCCAGGAGGTGGGCCGTGGCATGGCCTCCCGTTGAACTGAGCCGCGCCTGCCGCCCGCCCTCCGCGCCTCCTCCCCTCCTCCAGGTCCTCACCCCCCTCTCGGATGGGCGCCCCCGCAGCTCGGCCGCCCCCCCCCCGAGCCTCTCCCGGGCCGCGGGGCGTGGCGCCCACCTCCGCGGCGGCCGAGGGCAGCCCGGGCCCCCTCAGTCCTGGGTGATGGCGAACGAGGCCACCGCGGGCCGCCGGGAGTGGAGCTCCAGACCTGTGCTGCACTCGGGGCCAGCAGTTGCCGCCGCGGTGTGATCGTCCTCCCCCAACAGGCCACCGACGGGGTACGCCAAGCTGCCGAGGTGCCTCGCGAACACGTTGAGGTACGCTATGCCTGACAGGGTGCTGCCGCGAACCACCTTGAGGTCCACGGCGCCGAACTTCCTCCAATCTCGGCTGCCGAGCTCCTTGTCCGCGAAGTACTGGAATCCCGCGGTCTGGTTGGACAAGCTGCCCGTGATGTTCAAGACCCGAAAGTACAGGTCTGCGCACGCCGCGCCCATGCGCCGCGCGTCGGCCTCCACCCGCAGCAGGCTGTCCTGCGGCTTCGCGCGCCGGGGGACCTGGAGGAGCACGTGGATGCCCGGCTGGTAGAGGTCGAAGCGCTGCCCGAGCATGTTGACCAAGTGGGGGTCTCCTTTGCCAGTCACTGCCTGATCGCTGTTGATTGCCGTGTCTTGCGTGTTACCCTGCCTGATGAACAACTGGTGAGGCCTTGCCTCGCCCCTCCACAAGCCCTCGAAGGCATTCAAGAGGTCGGCTTGCAAATCAGACCTGGAAATCATGGCAAAATACGGCATTCCGGTGACTGGGAGCAATGCGAAGACCCGGTTAATGCCATTCTCGGGAGACGCCATCACCGTAGCGGCGCCGCCAGACACCGTTGCCGAGCTGAACGTATTGTCCCAAGCTCGTATGTGGGCCTGCGCCTCCGCCTCCAGATCAGACATCAGGCCGTTCGCAATCGACAGCTGGCCAGGGAACCCATTGTTGGTCCCCCGGATCTCGAGCTCGATCGTGAACGCGACGCGCCTGCTCAGCAAGGCCCTGCTCGGATTTTCCTCTGCGTCTGCGGCAATCTGGAGCAACTGGGCATCGATCCCGAGGGCGCCCTGCATGCCAGTCGTGCTGATCGCCTGGCAGCCCGCCGGCCCGCGACACCCCCGCCCGTGGCCCGCTCCAAACGAGGAGGCCAGGACAGCGGCCACGAGACATCGGACGACGAAGACCGCCATGGCCACTCGAGCGAAGTGGAAGTTGCAGGGAACACAAAGACAAAAAGTGCGATGTCAGGGCCACGAGGCTGCTTGAGCCTTGAGCCAAAATGGCTAGGCCGTCTTGGGACTGTGTCTTGGGCCTCTCGTGGCTCCCGTCTTGGACGCTGCGAAGATGAACAAAAAGCGAATGTGCCTGAAGGTGCGTTTCCCCAACAGGGAATGGACGAGTTTGCCGCTTTCGGGCCCTCTCGGGGCTCCTCTTGGGGTACGACCTTGGAGCGTCTCGGGGGCCTTCTCGACTACCCCGCCGAGCCCCCCAACCCACACGAGTCGCCCATTGGGCCCTGCAATCCCAGCGGGGGCGCTCTCTGGACCATTCAGCAAAACATAATGGAACCCTGTACGCCCCCAAACCCCGCAAAGATGTCTAGGTATGGGGACCTTCGTGTTGGGTTGCCGGTGGTCTGTTTATAGTATTGTCTCTTGGGCCGCCTTGACGCCATTCTGGGGCTGTCCGGAAACCATTCTTGTCCCGTCTGTGATTTGGACCCTACCCGCAAGCTTCAGAGGGGGGCCGGGGAAGCTCCGGAGAGGCTCTGGGAAAGCCCCGGTTGCCCGGGGGGGGTACTTAGTGTATTTCAGTGCCCATGGTTGGTCTTCGGCCGGGACCTCCAGGGCAGGGTTTGTAATATGATATCTTTATCCGATGTCGGTATGTATGTCTGGTAGTCTGTATGTCTGTATGTTGTGTGTCTGTAAGTCTGTATGTCTGTGCGTATGGGTGTATGTCTGTCTGTCTGTCTGTCTGTCTGTCTGTTCTGTCTGTTATGTCTGTCTGCGTCTGTATGTATGTTATGCATTGTTTATATTATATATCTATTTGGTTGTATGTATGTGTATGTCATGTGCGTGTGTATGCTCTTATGAATGTATGTATTAGTGTATTGTATGTATGTATGTATGTATGTACGTACGTACGTACGTACGTATGTACGTACGTACGTACGTACGTACATACGTATGTATGTATGTATGTATGTATGTATGTATGTATGTATGTATGTTTATGTATGTGTGTATGTATGCGCATGCATGCATACATGCATGTATGTTTGTATGCATATATGCATACACGTGCGTATGCGTATATGCATGGTTGCATGTATGTATGCATGCATGTATGAATGTATGAACGGATGTATGGATGTATGGATGTATGTATGTATTTAGAAAGGTGTGTCCTATATCTGACTGAATGCATGTATGCATGCCTGCATGTTTGTGTGTATGAGTTTTTATATATAGATATGGTTCGTAGATGTACATGGATGTACAAACGTATATGTGTATGTATACGTGTATATATAAATGTGTGTAAATACCTGCCTACCTACATACATACATGCATACATGCATGCATGCATGCATGCATACATACACACATACATACATACATACATACATACATACATACATACATACATACATACAAACAGCCATACACACATACATACATACATACATACATGCATGCATACATACATGCATGCATGCATGCATGCATACACGCATGCCTGCATACATACATACACACACACATACATACATACATACATACATACATACATACATACATACATACATACATACATACATACATACGTACATACATACAAACATACATACATACATACATACATACATACATACATACATACATACATACATACGTGTGTGTGCGCGAGTGCACCTTCTCCTTCTACCTATGAAACAACAAAGGAAAACACGTGGGAGGAGGAGAAGGATGCAGAATCGTCAGCTGAAGCGGCCCAGAAAAAAATCTTTGTACTTGCCACACGCCGTGCAAATGCTACTGAACACAAGGGATGTCTCGGGAAAACGGGCCAAACCAAATCGGATCACCTCAAGTGCGGACATCTCTGAGCCCAGAGTTGGAGGGATGAAGGAGGGAGGGATGAGCGATGGGAAGAAGTAGCATAGATGAGTGATGAGAAATGGAAAGAGGGATGAGGGACCGTTCGGGCGGTCCCTACCGGGAGGCTCGGGTCGGTCGGGCGGGACCCTGACGGGCGGGTCGGGTCGGGCGGGCGGGACATGAACAAATTGCTCATTATCGAGCTGGTACGCGAGTGCCCTAGCAGGCGGGTCGGGTTGGACGGGCGGGACCTTAATGTATGGCGCATCATCGATGTCGAACGCGAAAATCCTAACGGACAGGTCGGGTCGGGCCCGGCGGGCGGACCCTAACGGGCGGGGCGGGGCGGGGCGGGCGGGCGGACCCTAGAGGGCGGGTCGGGTCGGGTCGGGCGGGCGAGACATTGAAGTGTGGCGCAGATTCGAAGTGGGACGGGGTTATCTAATCGGGCGGGTGGTCGGGTCGGGTTCGGGCGGGCAAGCCCCCAACGGGCGGGACGGGGATCGAGTCAGGCGGGCGGACCCTGGCTGGAGGTTCTCGGGTCGGGTCGGGCGGGCGGGACATTAAAACAGGATGCATCAAGATGCATCACCGACTTGGCAACCGAATGGACTGACGGGCGGGACGGGTCGGGTGGGCGAGCGGACCCTAACGGGCGGGATGGGTCGGGTCGGGCGGGCGGACCCTAATGGACGGGACGGGTCGAGTCGGGCGGGCGGACCCTAGAGGGCGGGTCGGGTCGGGTCGGGCGGGCGGGACATTGAATTGTGGCGCAGATTCGAAGTGGGACGCGGGTATCCTAACGGGCGGGTCGGGTCGGTCGGGCGCGCGGACCCTCACGGGCGGGTCGGATCGGGCCGGGTGGGCGGGTCGAACAGGCGGGTCGGGTCGGGTCGGGCGGGCGGGGCATTAAAACATAATGCATCATCGACTTGGCACGCGAATACCCTAAAGGGGCGGGACGGGTCGGGCGGACCCTGACGGGCGGGGCGGGTCGGTTCGGGCAGGCGGACCCTAACGGGCGGGTCGCGTCGGATCGGGCGGGAGGGGCATGAAAGTATGTTGCATCATCGAATTGGCACGCGACTGCGCTAACCAGCGGGGCGGGTCGAACGGTCGGGCAGGCCATAACGGGTGGCGCGGGTCGGGTCGGGCGGGCGGGCCCTCACGGGCGCGTCGGTTCGGGTCGGGCGGGCTGGAGCACTGATGCTTCAACAACCGCCGTCGTAACGCCGCGAAAGCACTGAGCGGATTCTACTTCCTAAGCACTGAGCAAATTACTGGTGCAAACTACTCCCCGTAATGTCAGCACGCAAGAGACACCGCGAGACTGCATCGGCCACGCGGCCGGGACAGGCAAGCGCTACCCGTGACAATTACTGCCCAGGCACGCGTCCCAAACCCTTGGAGCCCAAACACTTTGGACACGGGCCCTCTTGGACGTCCCGTGTTAGCACTCTGGCGGCTTCTTGGGGCCTCGTTGTGCTACTGGAGACCTCCCGGGGCAGCCTGGGGGGCTCCTGGGGGACTGTGGTGACCCAGACCCCCGACGTCGTGATTTTTTCGCGACGTCGACCCCCAAAGGTCTGGACCCCTTCCTCGGGGCGAAAACATGGGGGAGGGAGAGGATGGGAGCGGACTGCATGCTTCAACAACCGCCGTCGTAACGCCGCGAAAGCACTGAGCGGATTCTACTTCCTAAGCACTGAGCAAATTACTGGTGCAAACTACTCCCCGTAATGTCAGCACGCAAGAGACACCGCGAGACTGCATCGGCCACGCGGCCGGGACAGGCAAGCGCTACCCGTGACAATTATTGCCCAGGCACGCGTCCCAAACCCTTGGAGCCCAAACACTTTGGACACGGGCCCTCTTGGACGTCCCGTGTTAGCACTCTGGCGGCTTCTTGGGGCCTCGTTGTGCTACTGGAGACCTCCCGGGGCAGCCTGGGGGGCTCCTGGGGGACTGTGGTGACCCAGACCCCCGACGTCGTGATTTTTTCGCGACGTCGACCCCCAAAGGTCTGGACCCCTTCCTCGGGACCCGTTTTCCATCCTGAGTCGTTTTTTGACAGTCCCGGCGAGGGCCCCCAAGGGCCAAAAGTAGAGAGAAACCTCCCGTCGTGATTTTTTCCACAGCGCGAGGAGGTCTGAGGAGGCTCTCTTGGAACTCCTGCACGCAGCTCCGGGCAGCCTCCCGGGGAACAGCTCCGGGGGAGGCCCTGCGGAGGCCCCCCCGGAGGGGAGGCACCCACAGAGGTGGGACCCCAGGTGCCCCGCGCGTGTGCTGCGGCCTGGGGCCCCTTGGGGTCGGGCTTTCTGGTGCACGGCTGGAAGCAGGGCTGGACCCAAACAGTGCTTTTTGTTTTCGTTTTGTTTTCGTTTTCCCTCTTTTTGTCTTGAATTCGCCTCCGCTGCAGAACGACGTCGAAACGAAAACGGCCCACGAAATCGCCAAAACACCGTTTAGGTCCACCCCTGGATGGAAGATGATGGTGGTTCCAGGAGGCAAGATAAGGGAAGGAGGTGGCAGGACGAGGAAGAGTGGAGGAAGGCGGGAAAAGAAGGCTGAAGCCAAATGTGGAGGGGGGAGTGGGGAAGAGGAACGGTGGAGGGAGGAGGCGGACGCAGAAAGAAAGATGGATGGGCAGGAGGAGGAGGAGGAGGTAGAGGGAGGACAGAAGGACGCAAAGTGAAAAGGAGAGGGAAGGAAAGGGCAGGGCGGAGGAAGAAGGGATGAAGGGGCAATTGCCGATGCGGGGAGGAGCAGGGAGGGGGCAGGAGGGCGAATGTACGAGGTCGAGGGCAGGAGGCAAGATGAGAAAGTTTTTTTGTTTCGGAAAGAACGCGCACGGTAAGATGCCATGGGGTTCGTGTCGCGACCAACCATACCCAGCCGGCCAACGCCAGGCTGGGTCTGCAACGAGGCGGCAGAACCCGACCTGGCCAAGTGCCAGCGACGGGTGAGCAAAATGAAGTGTTGCAGACGAGATTATTACATATTATTATAGGACCTGACCTTTGCCGAGTGCAACCCGCAAGGAGGCAAGATGAGAAAATTGGAGAAAGGAGGGAACGGAGGA